GTGGTGGGCGGGTAATGGGTTTGAGACATTACTCGCCCGCCCAGTTAAATATCTATTAAATTTTGGACCATTATGAATTTAGGTGTAATTTTAGAGACTAATTTATAAATTTTAATATTGTATAATATATAATATATAATTTAACCAAATATTAAGGATATTTAGTTTTTAATCTGGTCTTTAATTAGGGAAATATTCGGCTATTTGATTAAACCCATAATCTCACTAACCACGTTATTTTTCATGTTCTTTAGCCCCTCAAAACCCATATTAGGCGCACTATGAGAATTAACATTGAAAGAAATTTAACAATCCAGCTCTGCGACTACATGCTCTCTACAATCCGTCTCCATAACATTCGTAGTCACTCCTCTGAAAAATTGAAGCATGCGTTGCTATCCCATCACGAACTGTCTGGGAATCAATTCTAACATCTCATTAGTTTGTTTTCAGGCGGGTCTAGATGGGTATGTCGCTAGTGGGTAGTGAGTGTGAGGATGAATTTGAAAATGTACCCGCGTGGGCGGGTGTGGATTTGAAAATTTATACCCATTATGAATGGTGGACGGGTGGTGGATTAAAAAATATTAGGTGGGTATGGGGATGGAGAGGGGTATCCGCACCCGACCCGCCTCGCCTATTTGCCATCCCTACGCATGGGAGACACTGTCCATGGCTTCTACGGCAGCAATTATTGAATTATGGGGGATATATCTTTCTTCTTCTCTGTCTTCTTTTTAGTTTTAATCAAATGATTCTTTGACAGTTGTGAATCAATTCCAAACACATTCGTTTCTGATAACAAAAACAAAAATACATTGATTCTCATGTTGGACGACGAATATTACGTTTTGGGTAAATCTTAAAGTGGATATTTTAAGGAATATTTATATAAATTTATGACTACATTGTCACTCATATTGTGGATAGAAGAAAATATTTATGTGAATAAAATTTAGGGTAAGTTATTCGTTTAGTATTTAAATTATCAGTTTTGTCAGTTTCGGAAGTAGAAATGTTACTATGGTGTTGATCCATAAACCAGTACAACTACATGTAAACATGAATAATCTGAACACTCAGAAAGTTTAGTAGATGTTATTGAAAAAAAAGTAACTTCGATATTCTATTGGAGACTAATTACATAGAAATTAAAGACATGATGAAAACTTGGTTTTTTTTGGGACATTGCAGAAGAGAGATTCGAACAATGGAGTCGATCATCAAATCTGTTTTTATAGCCATTGAAGAATGAATAAAGCTTAGTTGTCTTTGAATCAACTTCCTCACTAAACCATATCTAATTAAAATATGGAATCATTAACAATAAGATTACTAAAGTTGATCTTGTTTCATTTCCACACCGTCTCACTTTTATAAACTTTTTCATTATCGAATTCAGGCCAAAAATTAGAAACAAAAAATCAACACTCATTTGTTGGTTCAGTATTTTTCATGGATAAAATTTTAGGAAAGAGATGCAACCTTTTTTTTTATTCTAGTTACTGTCAACATTGTTATGAGAAAATAATTATTAAAAAAAGACATGTTTGCTGCAGTTAACGTCTGCATTGCCGTTAAAATAAAAATGTTTATTATCCGTCGGTTATGTTGATTGCCTGATTGATTGATCCTGCTGCTGGTTTTAAATTGTTGGGCGCTTTTGGTGCTTAATGGTGGTCGTGTGGTTCTCCTCTTTGTCGTTTTATGCACGTCGGCTCGCTTTCTTTCATGGGTGCGGTTGGGTGGGTGCTCCTGCACGGGCTGAGGTGGTCGTATTAGTGTATAGGTGATGCTTTTATCACTGGTGTCCCTTTCATTTGCTTAGCTTGTGTTTGAGACTATGTAGTTTGTTTGTTTCTCAATGTGTGTTCCTAGAGTGTGGCTTTGTGGTGGATATATTGTTTTGTGCTTTGAACTTTTCGACTTGAAAGGCGCACAATTTTCCCTCCATCCTAGGCTTAGGGAGGTTTTTTTAACGAGACCCTTTCATTGTCGTTTTTTATGTATTTTTCTTATAAAAATTAGTTGATCCTTATTTCCATATGTAATGGGGGTAAGGGGAGGTAAGATAGTAGGTTGCCCCTAACGCCAGGTTGAGAGCAGCTTATGTAGGAGACCTCCATATTATGAAATGCCCTCCTTAGGACTCGATCCCACGACCTCAATGTTAAGAACCTTGTGCTCTACCAACTGAGCTGAATGATCATTTCTAAAAAAAAAAACTCGTGTCAAAAAATAATAGGTAGAGCACAATTAGACATCATGGTAAAGGGACAGAAGATTTTTGTTCTAAGAAAATTATCGAGCACCAGTTATAGAACAAACATGATACCCTCCACAAATATCAAACATGAATCAAATTAAACGGTGCTTTAGTACGAATTAAGCTTGAAACAAATGGAGTGTGAGTTTGTTTAGCTAAGGGGCAATTCAAGTTTATATATATAAACTTGATGCATGCATTTGAACAAGAAATCAAACCAAAAAAAACTTTATTTGATAAATGACCAAGACGTTGGTGCTAAACTCTTGAGGTGACCCATTTCTTTCATTCGTTGAAGTGACAACATTCCTTGTAGGTCGATGTGAATTATCAGGATAGCAGATTCCCCCTCGCTCAATTTCCATCCCACTCATCTTCCCTGATTGTTGATCCTGCAACACACATGAACTATCAATGAAAATTACAGATTTATGGGATTTGTGGAGGAGATTTTTTTATGGATATTAGGTTCAGTTTAAATGATGAAAGAACAGGTCTGATTGGTTCAGGACAGATTCAAGGGTAACGTTTGACCGACAAGGGTTTTGCACAAGGACATCGAGTTAACGATTGGCGGAAAGATAGGCGCAGCCTTGGGTAAGGCACTACAGTTGGACGCAAGAGAAAGCTGAGCATGGTGGAGTAGACGTCAAAGACTTTCACCAAGAGGCTAAATCGAAGACTTTGACTAAAGAGGTTAAGGAACTTAACAAAAACACATATTTACTTCTCCAAAATTGTGATAGCAATATGAGGCAAAGGAGCTCATAGTTTTAACTTTGAGGAAGTAAAAAACCTTGGAAAGTATTTAGGGGTTCTAATCCTCCATGGCAGAGTGATTAATGCTACGTACAGGTACCTGATCGAAAAAGTGGAAATGAGACTTTCCGGAAGCAGTTCTACAAACAATTCCTTAATGCCATGCAATCTACTTGGTTACCGAAAGGGGTCTGCGACACGTTGGAGAAATTAATAAGAAGATTCATATAGAGCTCGAACGCTGATTCTAAAATGATACCGTTAGTTAATTGGGACACGGTGAAACTTCCAGTAGCTAAGGGAGGTCTCGGCATTAAAGACTTGGGAAGGCAAAACAAAGCGTTCCTACACTACAACAAAACTGTACATTTGCGGCCTTTTTTTACCTATAGCGGCGTTTTTAAGCGCCGCAGAAAACACCTGCGGCGCTATGACAAACGTCGCGAAAAGTGCCGCTGAAAATAGCGCCGCTAAAGTTCGCGGCGTTTGGTAACAAAAAAACGCCGCAATAGATAACGATATATAGTGGCGTTTGTCCAACAAACGCCGTAATAGGTGTTGATATTGAGCGGCGTTTGTCCACCAAACGCCGCAATAGGTGTTGATATTTAGCGGCGTTTTCCAACAAATACCGCAATAGGTATTGAGATTTAGCGGCGTGTTTGACACAAACGCCGCAATAGGTCTTGAGATTTAGCGATGTTTTTCCCACAAACGCCGCAAAAGATCTGGTATATAGTGGTGCTTTTTAGAACAAACGCCACAAAATGTCATATCTATAGCGGCGTTTTAAGATACAAATGCCGCTAATTACCTCTCTATAGCTAAGAGAAATTGATTTTGCAAATTAAAACTAATTTGTCAAATGTTGTTTTCTACTCTTTTATTATCCGAATTTAACCTGTAGCATTTTCCAATAAAATTGACATCCATAAACAACAAACTTAAAATCCATAACAAGAAAATTGAAATCCATAATAATAAATCAATGTTTACATTAACGTAAAATATAATGTAGTTCAACATTATTAACTATAATAAACAATAATAACATCTAAGATATTTTACTTATAATCTTACACATTCTTCACTACTCTTCGTCACAATGAGACACTTAAATTCAAAGAGATAAATCCAATTTATATGGGGAAAACAATGATGCAGAGCTAGTATTGTCCTGTCATTTCTTGCACAGATATGTTGCTTCATGAGGTCTTACTCCAATTGGCATGCCACTTGAAAAGGCCCCAACCATGGCAATGCAAACCCGATCTCTAGTTTCATATCCAAATAAATCATCAATGCCAATGAAAATCCATTATATCTTACATTAAAAAAGTTAACAACACATTTCTTTAACAACTAAAATTATAGATTCCTTAGCGGTACTCGTACCAAGTTCAAATAAGAAATTTGCAACTCACATTTTCAACAGTACAAAGATCAAACAAAGATTCAAATAGAGCCTGAAGCTGTAACATTCTACTACTGATCTGCAACATGGAAATAAATAAATCAGTACAGAAACCATTAACTCTAACTGCCAATATGTTGCCTTAATAGTTGTATAAGATAATTCATTTTCCTGATTCAGAACAAGATTGGGAAAGTAAAATAGAATGTCTAATACTAATACAATGGGAGTAATTGTAAAACCTAATGTGAGTTGGTCAAAGGTAATGGCACCAAAAGACAGTAAAAAATGCAAAGCAAAAAATAATAATATTCAAGATAGAGCCACAGATGGTGTAGAAATGTAATACTATGTAAAAAACTCTTTCTGTATCAGCTTAAATCGCTTGAAATAAGGTAAATCCTAGGTTTAAAATCTAGTAATAGAAAGATTAAAGAACAGGAGTATGAATTCCAAGAACAATAAAAAAGTTGATTGCTTTGGACTCATAGTGTTGCCATCACCTATTATTTCATGTGCAGTGAAGTGTAAAAAACAACTAAAACAGGAGTATTTAATGATTTAAACAGAACATATAATATCGCGAGGCCAAAACATTCGCGACTTTGGTATCTCGTTAATATCCTCAAGATAATCTCGGATAATATTCGTTTTCTTCCATTTTGTTAGATCCAGAACACATAGTTTAAGAATCGTGTCTTCAAACAAATGTCAAAATGCACTCATAAGAAATGTTGCTTCATTCATATATCAGAGCAATACCTGAAGAAATAAACCCATTAAATTGGAGAGTGAATCTGGAGCCAAATCTTCCGTGCCGCAGGCATGGAAAAGTTTGGAAAGACCTAATCCCACAAGTCCTGCTACATAGTGACAATATTCATCGTAGTCATCAACCGTTTCGACCTGCAGCAAAACACAAGTTCCTGGGATCGTATATAAGATAATATATATATACATATTTTTGGTCAAGTATACAATATGATATGAAGACATTTAAGAGTTGTATTCTTGCATGCATATTGAACAGATTCAGGGGCTAAGCTTGAGAGATCGAGTTCTTATATATGGTAAAAGACAATCTAGAAGAGATCAACCATATTTTAATAATGCAAGAATGGCAAACCTCCTTGCAAATGAATTTTGCCATCCCTGCACCCATTCTTTTCGTAATGTCCTCGATAGCCTCCTGATAACTGCATAATCAATTGAGAATTATCGACTTTTTTCTCATTCGGGATCAAAATCCACAATCAAAAAAAACTTGAACCACTTATCTAAGATAACCTAGTTAGGAGATAAAGACATAAACTAAATAAACACATACAAATCAGCACCACATTTAAGTCTTCATGAACAAGGAAGATCGAGAAAAAAATTAAATAACCGACCCTTTTTTGAGTTCGAGAAAAGAAATAGATACATGATGAAACTCGTCTATAAGAACTTTGTAGTTCTTTGTACCACGTGAAAAAATAGATAAAGATATATAAGCAAACACACCGGGATTCATTAACCGGTAAAGTTTTCGGTAATAAAATTAGCCCAATCCTGGTGCCATATTGCTCTACTCCACAGAGAATCGAGAATCCTCCTTTGAAGGAGAAAAAACTTCTAGATGCTCACATGAAAAGTGCCAGTTGCAATCGTATATATGACGATAGAAGTCTTTGAGGATAGGAACTTTGACATCAGTTGCTACACTAGTGTCATCCTCTGCACGAAAAAAAAACCTCAGCTTCTTATCGAACAACTCGAAAAGGAAACGCAAAATATTACTATCATTCATAGATTATATAGGCCAAATATGCAGAAATTGGTCCTAGTAATTTAGAATTGGTGAAAGATTATGCACGATGGGAAAATAACACTGAAAAGAAAGGGAAATAAAGGGTTTAAAAGACAAAGAACAAACCAACAGTATCAAGCACTCGAAGAACCAAATAGAATATGCAGACCTGCAAAACCACAAGTATGGGGGAAAATCAAATCACCAGATTGAACAAAGATTAGTCTAATATTAAGGATTAATAAAATCCACAATAAATACAATCGAAATCGATAGTAAATTTACGAAATCAGACGACACCATATGAAATCCATAGAGTTTTCTTACGGCTTTTCTAAGCTCGGTGTCGAGCTGTTGAATAATGAAGGCGAAACTACAAGAGACTTTGTGAAGCATGGAGAAACAAAAGGCCAAGTGAGGCTCCGACAAGATCTTTTTCTCGGCATGCCTCGAAGCCAATTTCAGCTTCAACAATTGATAGAAATCATCCGGGTGTTTCACAAGCACTCCTAAACTCCCCATAATTGAATATTTGTTTTGAAGTCAGACCAAAACAACAAATCAAAATATGGGTATATGGCGAAACAAATGGTTGTTTGGATTTTTGAGGGGGAAATGCAAACTGGGTCAAAATATGGGTTTGATATGTATGCTCATTTTTTTCTAAAAAAAATCCATATGTTTGGAGGACCATACTTGTAACACCCCCAACCCGTATCCGACCAGGATACGAGTCTGAAGTGTCACATTGACTTTTCAAAAAATTATTCGTATAAAATAGTGAGTAATTTAAAAACTTTTATATCATTTAAATTATTCAAAACATTTACAAAATTATTCAGAGCTTATACAATATATTCTTTTTATTACATGCCAACTAGAACTTTATATACAAAAATACATATTATTCACCTCTCTTCTGATCTGACATTCGCTAAGGAGAACTGACCTGTCTTGTTCCTCTTTACTTTTCTTTTCGCTTTCCAAACCTACGTGTGAAACAATCACACGCTAAGTCGATGACTTAGTGAGACATATAAAACATATAATATTTCATATAACATAAAGCATACATAAACATATACCATCATTATCATAATCTCTATCATTATCATTAAGAAACACACATAACATCATATGGTTCATGTAACACATTTCAAACCACTTACCTTTGATAACCATTTATAAACCCATCGTATACATATCACATTCAGTATGCTTGTTTAATCACTTTATTAGCCCATGTACACTAGTGAGAACTTAAGGTATGTGAGTACATTGAGGTTGTGCACACATATGCTGTCACCACAGCTCGATCAATGTCCCGAAGGACCAGTCCATAGATTCCGAAGAACCTAGGTAATCAGTCCATATGTCCCGAAGAACATAGGTAAACAGTCCATATGTCCCGAAGAATATAGGTAAACAGTCCATATGTCCCCAAGAACATAGGTAAACAATCCATATGTCCCGAAGAACATAGGTAAACCCTCTACCCTTGGCATGCCAACTATACCCTAGCTCTCATATCACATAACATGGGCATTATCATTTAACAGTTCACATTACTTGTCATTTTTCTTTTGTCACATACCACATGTATGTGTAACCATGTATTCCATATCATATCACATGTATCACGTATTGCCTATTCATATGTCATTTCATATAACATATATCATATGTGCATGTAATCACATAGATCGTATCATATAGCTTCATTCATATCACATATTCATATAAGCTCATAGCTTCTTTCACATATACATGTAATCACTTAGTCTATTTTCATGTAATTCTTTTCACTTCTCATATGATTTTATATTCATATCTCACATAGCTCATATCACCTTGCATTGTTTCATATAAACATAGATGTCATATCTTGTTTGCATATATTTTCCATATAACTCATATATCTCATAGTTCTTTCACATAGCTCACTATCATATTTTCATATCATATATCTTATAATAGATTCTTATATCATCATTTGTTTCCTTTCTACCTATTCATAATCACATTAACATGTAATGCAAGCAATATGTATTATACATACATGTAATCACATAATTTATACCACATGATTCATGTAGTCATTTAGATCATTGTCTTTTAACACATATCTCATAATCACACAAACCATCACATAGATTACCAATCAAATCACATTTTAGGAGTTACTTCTTACCATAGTAACTCCATCACTAGCTCATCGCAAGCCAATGTTTATTCAATAATATAAGTACAAATTAAATTGCACTCACCTTAGCCTTGCTTTGATTCGATTATAATCCTTTGATTATTCCGGAACTTGTTTAGGCTCAATATCTACATAAATATATCATTTCAAAACAACTATCAGAAGCCTAAACTTTAAACTTGATGTTAATAACTTAAACCGGTTTAATGAATCAAATTCTATATTTTCATTTAGGGGGAATCGATACCCCCCCAGGGGAATCGATACCCCCTAAACATACTGGATTTTTTCGTTCAAGAGGGGGAATCGATTCCCATTCATAGGGTATCGGTTCCCTCTACGCAGAAATTGTATTTTAAGCTCGAAAATCATCAATTTTTCTTTCAATTCTTCTATTTTAAACCCCTACCATGTCATTAAACTCAACTACCATTACTTAAACTAACTTATATCCATGAAAATCCTCTATGACTTAAAAATCCTATCATTCATATGTAATTCAAGAATCATACTAAAATTTCAATATGTTCTAAATACAATTCTAACACTTCTATCTTCTTATTCTCATAGATGACAAGTCAAATTCAACTTAAAATTCAACTTATCAACTCTATTCCATGATTTCATATAAAAACTCATTTTCTTTAATCTATCATAACTCTTTTATCTTTTTCTTTTAAGATAACTTAAGCTTTCCTTAAGCTTAATTATCATCTAGTGATCATAACCCAACTTTTAAAACAACAAATAATTAACAAAATAGCAAACTCACCTTTGATGTCTCTCTCTCTCGTGTGGAAGAACAAAGGAGATGAAGTGGAGAAAATATCTCCTCATCGTTATCCCACATGCCTATATATCATTTAATTATAATTTCCAAGTCAAATGACCATTTTGCCCTTTAATTCTTTGGATAATTACTATAAACTTTTAGGAAATATTTCCGAACAAATCATTAAACTATTCAACTATTCTACTTTAATCACCATATTCTGAAATTTTACAATTTTGGTCACTAACCCGTATTTTGGGATGTTACAATACTCCCATATAGTTAAAGCAGATACAAAGGGACCACTCACCAGTTCAAGAATTTCATTCCCCTGGTTGCAATTTCTTCATTCTTTTCTCTACAGTTAGCTTCCCACAAATTATCCTCATCGCTGTCAATCTGAAGGACAAAAATTCCACCAATTAACCAATATTGAAATTGCAATTATAAAAAATTCCAATATAGGTAAAGTGGATGAGAATCTAGGGTTTCAATTCAAGTTTTTCAAAAAATTAGAAGAAATATAAGGTTTCAATTCAAGTTTTTCAAAAAAGAAAAAGAAAAGTAGAAATCTAGGGTTTTTGAAAGTGATACGAAGTGGAAGGACTGATGAACTTGTGGATTTTTCCAGTACTGGAAATCATGATGATGGAAACCCTCGCATCGCAGAGAACGGTGAGCTCATTAGCTTTTTTGAAGAGTGTTTCTTCTCTTAGAGAATGTGACTTGTCTGTTGGTCGGGTTCTCAAAAGCATGAGGCCCCTGAGAGTTAAGTTTAGGGCTAGGGTTTGCTAAATTTAGTTAAATGTGGTATATATATAGCAGCGTTTGTATAAAAACACCACAAAAGAACGATTATTTAGCGGTGTTTGTGCTTAAAACACCATTAAAGTACAGTATTTAGTGGCGTTTATATAAAAGCGCCACTAAAGTATGAGTATTTGGAGGATTTTGGGCTTAAAATGCCACTAAAGTATGAGTCTTTAGCAGCGTTTGTATAAAAATGCCACTAAAGTACTAGTCTATAGCGGCGTTTGTATAAACAACGCCACTAAATCACGAGTCTATAGCGGCGTTTGTATAAAAAACACCACTAAAGTACATTTTTAGCGTCGTTTTTATAAAAACGACGCTATAGTACGAGTCTTTAGCGGCGTTTGTTCTAAAAATGCCGCTACAAATGCCGCTATTAACCCATTTTGCTGTAGTGATTGCGGCGTTTGTTGAAAAAACGCCACTATAAACAACTCTATTACGACGTTTGAGCTATAAACGCCGTTAAATTACCACTCTATTACGGCGTTTGTTTAAAAAACGCTGCTAAAGTATAATTTTGTGGCGTTTGTATTGTAAACGCCGCGACATGCTTAGATTTTGTGGCGTTTTCCCTTAAAACGCCGCTACATAACACATTTGCTGTAGTGTTAATGAAAATTGGGATGCAGTTGGTACAAGGAGGGGATGGATTGTGGATAAAGATCCTAAAGCACAAATATAGGTGGTCGGAGGATATTCCTTTGCTCATAGCTCGGCAGAAATGTTCCCGATTATGGAAAGGTTTGAGCTCTATTTGGGAAGATATTAAAAATAACATCTTTTGTAAAATAAGGAATAGTGCTCATGCGGATTTCTGGCAAGATATTTGGATTGATGACATTGGACCTTTAGCGGATCATTTCCTACTGGGGACGGCACTGCTTCCCACGTTTCAGTATCCGATACGTCTCCAACACGGGGATGACACGGGTACGTATCAGGGACATGCTACATGACGGGATACGGTTGAACAAACTTGGGGACCCGTTTCAATGCTTACCCGGTGACGTTTTGGGGACGGCATGTGACTATCAAATGCGTTCTCAGGCGTCCGAACCGGCCCACGACGGCGGAGAATGAGAGTCAAAGCTCGTGAGTTTCGTATCAAGACGGTCACATCGACGGTGAGGGTTGGGGTCACAACATGAAGGCTTTTGGAAGATGATCGGCGAGCTAAGGATGGTGGCGGCACGACGAGATATAGGTTTACGAGATGACCAGCAAGGATTCGTGAATCATCGAAAGAAAAGAAATAGGGAGGCACCGCGTTAAACAAAGCCATAGATTTGTGATTATAATAAAAATGGTATAACCTCAGAGTTAGTCCTCAAATATTTTAGGGTTTACGAAAAAAGTTACACAATTTACAATAATTACAATTTGGCTACCAATTTTTTTATGAAGTATTGATTTATGAATTTTATTTTATAATATTTACTTATGGATTTTATTTTCTAATTTTCTGTGAAATATTAACTTTATTTATGATTTTTTATATTTATTTATAATTTAATTTTTATTATATGTTGTACCCTTACCGTCTCCGTACCCTGTAATTTTAAGAATTTTCGTTTCCCATCCCGTCCCCGTATCAGTGCAACATAGATGGTTACGGCGTCAGGTGCTTGGGATTGGGAAAAATTGTATGATTGCCTTCCTATCCAGATTTGTAATAGAATTGCTGGGATTTGCTCACCAAGATTTTCACTTGGTGATGACCTACCTGGATGG